TTTTTTCCGAAACTTGTTGTAGGTACATATTATTAAATTGGCTAACACGTGAAGGTGAGTTTGTGTGACAAAAACTTCCTAAACTAGAGATATGATGCCCATTTTCATGTCTGATTTAGCATATGTTTTAATGGAGAACCGTTTCACTGCTGTCTCCCCTATACGCGCGTATCTAAGAAGCTCTTACGGCTTTGTGATTGGTAATAAAGACGTCAATCATGCCCAAATATGCCGTGTGTTTTTTTAAGCCCCGCCCACTACAATCACCAATTCCCGCCGGCAATTTCCCGCTCAGATTACATAAACATTAGTGGTCCGTCATGACAGAAGATAATGCCGGCATTATTTCTCTGCTCTGATTTTCGGTAAATTTTGGTGCATTTTGCAATTAGTTCCCCAGTTTTCCTGCTATACTATTACTGTGATCTCAAAACTACATCAGTTCCTTGTTCGTTTTCAATAGTCTGCTGTTTGTTTACCTTTTTATCTCTCAAATTACGACACCCGTACGTCGAGTAACTTCGAGTCCCATTACGTCACTGTTGTGACATACGATATGAATTAGGCCAACAACTCGGCATTTTTTCTAGCTAGTGTAACATGTGGTTATAGTTAACTTGAAGTAGCCTAGTTAACATATGTACTAACACGCATGCGTAGAGTCAGTCGACAGGAGTCGAGAGCAAGATCCAGACCTCACCAGACCGCACGTCTGATGATGAAGAATAAACCAGCCGATTAGAGTATTCAAGCTCGGTGTTATTCATTGAAAGCCGACGCACAGGTAGAAGGACGTCCAGAGGACACACCAGAGCGTCGTGACAGCTAGTACTTGATTTATTGCTGCCATCAGAAAGCTTCTTGGGCGCCTCCTACCATCTCTTAATTCCAATCAATAAGTTGTTCAGGGATATGTGGAATCATGTCTTCTTGGGGGGGGGGCATTGACTCACATATTGAAAACATCAATAGACTGTGTAGATTCTGTGGGGACTTGAATGTTACGAAGGCTGAGAAGAACAAGAAGCTTCCTGCCCTAAACTGTGAGGAATACGCTTCAAAAATCAAAGAGATTTGGGGAATCGAAGTTGCTCGAGACAGGCCTTACCTGCATCCCAAGTTCTTCTGACGAAAGTGCAGATCTCGGCTGTATAACCCATCCAAATTGTCCAGGGCCAAAAGTATTTCTTGGTATCCCCACACCTTTGGAGATGACTGTGTGCACTGTTCTAAAGCAGGATCACTGCGAAAGGAGGGACGGCGTCCAGTGAACAAGTCTTCTGGGAGACCAAAAAAGACTAAGACGTCAGGTCTTACAGCTGAGATTTGTGAAACACAAAACACAACAACAACACCTTTCTCCGGCATGTGACCCTGTCATGACAGTAGAGAAGAGGGTTGTCTGGACGAATTTATGCATTTATGCAGCGGTCACCATCAAGGGCAAGGTCAAGGTCAAGTTCAATGTTAATGATATGCAAATGTATACAGTTCAAGTTCAACGATAATATATGCAAATTTTATGCAAATGTATGCAAATGTATACAGTTCAAGTTCAACGATAATGTATGCAAATTTAATGCAAATGTAGTCATAACTGGATTAATGTATTCATAACTGGCATATGCTTGATTTTTGTTCAGAAATATGTTTTATAATGAGATGCAGTTCTGACCTTTACCGAAAAACTCTTTGGGGTAAGGTTCTTATTACCCTTGACGACTTTTGTAGTGATGTCGTGGAGACGTTACACATAGACTAAAAAATGTCACACAAGGTTATTTCTGGACGGTATGGTGACGTCAGTCTACAGTCCACTAGCAGGTGATCCAAGGAGTCATTAACATATAGCGATAGAATCGTTTTGAACACGATTCCCGTTACCCTTGACAACTTCTGTAGTGGTGTCGTGGAGACGACAAACATTAAGTGAAAAATGTTACAAAGGGTTATTTCTAGACTGCAGCTGTGTTTGACCGGTACGTCATGGTGTAGCGCACAGGTGATTGGACGGAATTGAGTAGATAAGCGGAGCCAGAAACTTGTACAGAACCTTGAGGTGTGCGACTCGTGGTCATTTTCGCCTTTGACAAGAGCTGAAGAACACAGACTGACACACAGCACTGGAAAAGACAGTCTGATCGAGATCCTGCAACATGATGGCCTCTGGTGGTAACGTCAACGTGCCCGACCTGCCTCTAGATGAGCAGACCCTCGGTAACGTGTTCCTAGAAGTATGCGGACACCGGTATGAGCAGATGTTTCACCGGTTCATGATTGCCGACTGTGACGGATGTCAAGTCGATCATCCCAGTCAACGACGCCATCACTGCCTATTCCTGGACGTGGAGGATATAAAGGAATACGGTCGACGCACTCTGGCGAGCATGTCGTTCAGGAAAATGTACAGCGACTTCTTCGGCCTCACTGCATATCTCTGCGAGCTGGACCAGGTTCCGTCGGTAGAGTCGATGCGGCAGAAGTACGAGAAGTGGTGTCAAGAAATGCATCGCTCCATCGAAGCAGACGGCAAGGAGGAGGGGAAGGAGGAGAGGAAGATGGAGAAGAAAGAGGAGGAGGGGGCTGGTGAAGAAGAACAAAAAGAAGAAGAAGAGGGAGACAAGTCCGGACATGTTCATCGCTGGATCCGTGACATGATTGAGAAGGAACTCCGTGAATAGTGTTCTGCAGTGTGAACTGTGATTACGACTTCGTTCACGGATCGGTTAGAGAAAGTCTTGATCGAGATAAAAAAAGAACTCTGTGCACGGTACTCTGTTGGGTAAACTGTGATTGTCGATTTTTCATGAATAAAAGTTTCATTGTTTGGAATTTTTTTCTGTCTGTGTGTTTCTTTGTGTGAGTTTGTGATGGTAACGTTTGTTGGCATCCTGTGAGAGAAAAGGGACCTTTACTGATAAAACGTTTTGAACAAGGCTCCCGTTACCCTTGACAACTTCTGTAGCGGTGTCGTGGAGACGACAAACATTAGGTGAAAAATGTTACAAAGGGTTTTTTCTAGACTGCAGCTGTGTTTGACCGGTACGTCACGATGTAGCGCACAGGTGATTGGACGGTGAGGTCTGTGACTCGTAGTCATTTTCGCTTTTGACAAGAGCTGAAGACCGCTGGCTGAAAGACGAAACGATGGCATCGTACGAACCTCAGCAGAAGAAACCGAAGAAGAGTCACAAGAAAAAGGGAGATTCAAAGGCAAAGAGGAAGTTGGTGCTGAGCGAACCACAGCAAACGTGTATTGACGAGTGGATGAAACAGCCATCGAAGAAGACCGTCGAAGGTGTTCTACCGTCAGCCCCGTCGGTGTGTTTGAAATGATGTCGAACATCGTCAACGACAACGGGACCGTGGAGACAGAGCTGTCGGCCAAACCAGCAACCGCCGATCGCACCACCACCTTCGGCGAGGAATCGGTCCCGAAATACGTCGGTATGTTTCAAAAGCCGTGGAAGATCGGCACCGGCAACGGGGGTGTCGGGACAGAGCTGCCGGCCAAACCTGCAACCGTCGACCGCTGCACCACCGCCTTCGGTGCTGAACCGATCCCGCAACCCACTACCATCAACGGCGGGTTCACGACATCGCTCGGGGGTCAACTCGGCCGAGGTACGACTGCCACTGTCCGACAACGTCTTCATAACGGCCGGGGTGTTCAACAATAGGCCTCTGATATCCATCCGTCAGTTTTACTCGAGGGATTCGGATCCAAACACCCTGAAGCCTGGGAAGAAAGGGCTGACCTTCACCCCCGAGCAGTGGCGCACTCTCAAAGACATGTCGATCTACGGGGCCATCATCGACAAAACCTTCGAGGCCCTACCTGCAGCAACTGTGCCGAAACCCCGCACGTTCTATCTGGGGAGTCTGAAGTACGCCGTGGTGGAGATGATCGACGGTCAGCCGACGGTGGGTCTCTGGCAGTACGACCGTCTTCCCGGAATCAACAACAACGAGCCGGTTCGCACCCAGAAAGGTATCAATCCTGACGCTGCAGCAGTGGGAGGGCGTGGAGAGCAAGAAGGAGACGGTCGACTGGATCATGGATGCTGTCGCCACGAGGGAATCACCGCTCGACGTGGAGGTGATCGGAGGGCATTCCGTATTTAGAGAGACATGTGTCACAAAATCAATAAAGTTCCCTGTGATCGGACACAGGTTTGAGATCTTGTGAAATAAGTCTCTGTCACAGTGTTTTGGAATGTCGTATGATGTGTGTGTGTGTGTGTGTGTGTGTGTGTGTGTGTGTGTGTGTGTGTGTGTGTGTGTGTGTGTGTGTGTGTGTAGTAGTAGAG